TATATATATATGTGTGTGTGTGTGTGTACACGCTATTTGATTTGCTTTTGACGCCTGCATGTTCAAAGCCAGGAGTTTGGAACCAAACTTTATGTTTTGCAAGCTGTATGTGTACATGATATTTTACTGACGCTTTTCTTTGCCAGATTCATAATTATTTTACTTTCATTATTTCCCACATCACAGATGTTTTCATAAAGTGGCAGAATTAATGCTTGAAAATCCTCAGTGAATCTGTCAGTCACTCACTCACTCAAACATTCACTCTTTAGTTCATCCTTTGACGCACTCGTTACTGACTGCCAGTAGGTTGTCAACACCAAGCTCACATTCAAAAGCTGGTATACACGAGCGTATTTGCACACACACACATGCATGCTCGCACAGATGCAACCATTCACATTGTTGTAGTGTGCTGTATTGTGGTGTCAGTATATATAGTGATTTCAATCCTAAATGCAAAGTAATGAAGAATAAATAAGAGAAAATCTGGCTCTGAAACAGTCTTTTCTTACCCCTTCCCCAGCCCCCTCCCACACTGGGAAAAATTTCTGCCAACATGAACACCCCCAATGTTTAAATAACCCTCCCATCCGGAACAAAAAATCAAACAAAAAAGTCCCTTTAAAAGTGAGAGAATAACGACTTGAAATAATTGTTATTTGTAGTTGAATGTTTCTGTAATGTAAGATCTTTAAAGTGTTAAAACTATAACAAACACATTATTTATGTGAACGTATTATAAATCTTATTAATCCGTATTTTTGTTTACACTGATGAAATGAAATTTGATATAGAATATTTTCAGAGCTGAACTGACTGGCCCGTGTCTCTCTGGCTTTAAAAAAGAAAGGAAAGAAGGTGGAAAACAGAATTTTCAGTTTGATTAACGAGAAAGAATAAAACATAATTGAAAAACAACATCATAACCAATAACAAAGAGCGTTCTGATAGGGTAAAAGTTATAGAGCAAGAATCAGAGAACTTTGATGCGCATTTCACGTTACATAAAGAGTGTAAAAACCAGCGAACGAGACGCACAACTATTGAAGTAGCTGAGGTCATGAAGTGCGTTGTTCATAATGCTGTATTTTCCCTTATCTTACTATTAGGAACATTTATTTCATTTATTTATTTAGATTGCATTTGAGTGCTGCGGATAGAAAAAGGAATTCCTTTTTATGTTTTTATGGCCGGGGGTG